GCAAGGTTACGAGGTTGAGGTTTGCTTCTTTCCTGACAAACAGGACATGAGAACTCCCTAGCAAGTTGCAAAGTTCGTTCGTCCGCGCCTCTTTTCTTAAGAGCCTGCTCAAGATGACGTGGGTGACTGTGTCCCGTGGCACAATGAAGGAGATATAACTGCTTTTTGATGCGCTCATCTTCCTGACTGCTATGGCTCTGGGGGCCCCCATGTTCAGCAGGATAGGCCTCGGCCTGGGGTTCATCCGGAAGGGGAAATCCCAGGGACTGCAGGTGCTGTTGTTCTTCGGTACTCAGCTTGCTCCAACTACGGCTCACAAACACGGTCAGCACCCATCTATCACCTTCCCAATCACAAGCCCCATGCCACTTCCCTGGAAAGAACACAAGCGGTTGACCCTTCACCTCAAACTCCATCCCCTCTAACACCTCACCTTTGGCATTCACCCTTTTTGAATCCTTACCCAGCCTACCTCCAACAGACTCCGAACCTTCAACCCACAAATTCCCTCCAGAATACGGTCCAAACCCTATAGTGCCGTTGGGGTACTGGGGGTCGTTGTTGTGGTCCCGGTGAATGGGCAAGGACGTGCCATGATTGATGTTGAAGGAAGTCCATTTCATGTCTTTGGGCATGAGTTTATGCAGGATCTTGTTGACGTACCTACAGAATTCAGGAACCTTGCTCGTCTTGCTAGTAACGCCGTAATGGCCCCCATAGGTATAGGCGCCGTAAACCTGATAGTCCTGGCCGTTGCTGGGATTCCGATAGGATTTTCCGGGTTGGGAGAAGGGGTGTTCACGCAGAAATCGTTCCAAACTGTCCAAACTGTGCTTTTTGGGGTCGCTCAAATGAATAGTGGCTTGCTGTTCCATGGCTTGAAGGGATTTAGTACTTATCATGGCTTGAGCCTCGGCTTGTTCCATGCGCTCTGGTGTGACAATCAAGCAACTCCCGCATGCCTGATCTTTGCCCTTGCATGTACACAGCAGCCCTAGCCCGAAACCCTCCGGCAAGGAACTCTTTCCAGAACACTCCTCAATGACCCCCTGAAAATCCCCTTCCCGAAGCATGGCATCGACTGCTAATCGAGCAAACTCCTTAGTGTATCCTGCGGACTTCGTGGCGTTCCTCCCTTCACACTTGGCATGCTTGTAGTTGGTGGGACACATGCAAGGTTTGTGAAGCTTCTCAGACAGCCTGCGCATGGAGGTGACAATGCGCCAACCTTTTTGCATAAGCCTGCCATCTTGACCCTTCAACCCCACAGAACAACCCTTCGTAACACCCGTGAACAACCCCATATCGAATCGAAGTCGCTGAAATACAGGCAACCTCCACGCCTCACAACGCTCAGCAAGTTCCACAGAGACATGAATTCCCAACTGCAAACATGGTTTCACAATCTCCTCGGTGCTTTCGTAAATCCGTTGGGCCACGGCTCGCTTAGCTTTGAGGTCTTGGATTTGGGCAGGGGTTTTCTGATTCACATTCTGAAGAGGGGAATAGGGACCGCAAGGCGGGGAGATCCAAACTCTTTTGGGCTTGAGGGTCCTAATCTGCTCTACAACAATGGCCAAACCCTCTTGTGTGGCCAAGTCGTGACCACACCAAAGCGAGCTCCTACAGGCGGATTCACTTCGTCCCGTCCTGGCTTGATACACGCTGGTCAACAGGCTATCTGGTTCACAAGCTATCTCCATGAACTCCAATCTTTCTTTACCTACCAGCTCTTCAAACATGTTAGGGACTACAAGTTGAGACTTGTGTGCAAGAGCACTGGCAGTGGTCTGACTAAGCGGAAGTCCTTGGGCTTCTGGACCATCGGGATGTCCTGGGTCGCTGCGACCTTGCGCGGCTGGGCGCTCGCCCTCTCCTCCTTCATCTCCTTGATCTCGGTGGCGAGTTGAGCAACCATGGCCGTGAGCTGGGTCACAGCATCCGGGCTGGCAGCCGAACTCGCCGATGGTGTCTCCATTGTCGCTGACTTGGCCTCCATCTTGTACGGGCTCTTGGTGGGGTTGGACTTCTTCTTGGGCGATCCCACCACCACCTTCGGCTTGGTACCCGAGACCTCTTTCTGAAGCATCCACTCCACGAAACGCCTCAGGTAGATGGACGTGCTCTCCTCCTTGTAGGTGTCCTTGGCCCAACCGCAATATGACGTCTCCGTGCTCCAAACCTCCAGGTATGTTCTCTCTGAGAACTTCCCGAAGCCCATCACATCGCCATCGGCACCCGGGATGTCTGCCAGGAGTTGCTGCATAGCTGCCTTCTGTATGGTGGCTATGGTGGCATTCGGGCTCACCAGCATGCCCAGGTTCTTTTCCACATGAAGCACCAATTCTGATTTCTTGCGGCTCGCCTTGTTGAGCTCGGACACTGCCTGTTGCAGCGGTGTTTTGGCCGCCTTCCCGGACTTCATCTCGATCTCCCCCAAGTCGGAGAGCTCCCCCAATCGACACATCAGGTCCACCTTGGTCCACCCTGATGGGGGCTCCTCGCCAAAACTGCGAAGGGCCAAAACCATGTCCGCCTTGGACATCGAGTTCATGGCGAACGCAAGGTGGAGGGACTGGATGAGGTTTAGCTAGTAAGCCTGGATTGCTGCAATGGACACAGGAAGGTTCATCATGTTCAGCAACCATTGTTCTGGACTCCACTGGTGCAGCCACACAATCGGCCCCATGAACATGTCTCTGTCCGAGGAAAGTATCAACAACAACTTTACCGTCAACATGCTTAATATCAACAGAGTGGTTTTGTGGGACGACTATCGTCCCGGGCTTCCCTGAAAACTCACTAATGACCTCTCGTTTTCTTTCAGGGTCAGAGCACGAGAGGAGCTGTCCCTATGGTTTCACATAGGCCGACAAACTTGGTATGTCGGTGTCAGAAATTGAGGCCCCCGCCAGCCAGTCTTCGGTGAGGGGTAAGAGTTGATGCCCCGATTGCCCCCGGGACAGCTTCACGACTCGTTTCGAGTCGAGGCTACGAAAGACAGCTAGGTCTTCTTTAAAGTCTATCACCGCGCCGAGACGCCTAAGCGCCTCGACGCTTAGCAAAATTGGGCTCTGGCCCTTGTCTAGGGCATGTGCACTGAGCTCCCCTAGAACTCCATTAGCAGATACTCCTATCTTGGCCGTGCTTAAACACTTGTCTTCAGAACTGTTCCCAAAGGAGAAAGTTGGGGTGTTCTGAGTACTAACGGCTTTCAAGCGGCTCACGCCATGCTTGCGGACGTTCTCGGTCATCACGGCCTCCAGCGCTGCTATGCTCCCAATGGTCTGGGTGGCACCACCGTCCAGGACGCACATTCCCCGCTTGACCGCCTCCGCTGTGGTCAGGGCCCCCGGCGAGCCGATGGCTCCATAAGCCTCCTCGCTGCCTGCCTTGGAGGTGTCCTGAGCAAAGCCTGCGAATGGCCTCCCAGTGGTTGGTGCCGCGAAGCACACAAAGGGCGCCTGTTGGTTTTCTCCTGAGCCACCATGCGGTCCACCATCGGTGTGGGCAGCCACGGGCTTGTGAGGACAGTTCGCTGCTCGGTGGCCTCGCTGGCCACATCTCAGGCAGTCCAAGTTGGAGTCGTCTCGAGTACCGGCTCCACTTGATGAGCTGCCCTTCCCTTGGGAGCCTGAATGGTAGTACCTGCGGCTCTGCTTCACTTGATGTTGCTTGAACCTGGCCTCCTTGAGTGTCCGCCTAGCTTGATGTAGAGCGGCAAGTGCTTCCTGAGCCTGGGACTCCGCGTCCACAACCAATGCCACACCCTCGGAGGTTAGGCCCTCTTCGATCAGAGCCTCGGACGTGTTACCAGATATGTCGAGGTCGTCCTCAGACTCGTCCAGGAACTCCCCCATGTAGCTCTGGTATCTCCGGGTCTGGTCTCGGCGTCTGACTTCTCCGTCGGGGAACTGGTTGCGCAGCTCCTGCGCAACCCTCTGTGGATTGAAGTCGCCACCCAGTGCCGTCATCACCAGGTTCTTCTCGTTGTGGTCCAGGCCCGCATCAGCCAGCAGATACCACCCTTGGATGAAAGGTGGCAGCAGGTCCGTGTTCTGCATCTGCAGGTCTCTCGGTGGCGCCGCGCCACTGTGGCCTGATTTCCACTCCCAATTGCCATACCCAGACCAGGAACTCCAGTGGTTCCACTGTGAGTTCCACTGACGCCAGGCTGCATCATCCCAGGTTGAGGTAGTAGCTGTTGGAGCTCCGCTGGGAGGTACCTCAGTTGAGCCATCAGAGCTCACGCTCGATCTGCGGCTCTGCTCCTCAGGTTCAGCTGATGGTCTGTTCGTGCGGGCCCAGGTCCAGTTGCTAGACTCCCAATCATAGCTCGAGTTCCCTGGCCTTTGATCACCACCTGCTATGGAGCCACCCCCAATATAGTGGGGAGCGACCCTCTGAAGAGCTTGGCTTGCTCGAAAGTAAGCTTCAAACTTCCTTGTCACATAATCATTCATACTTTCTGTGCTCCGTCGCTTGCATCCCTTGAAATACACTGCCAGGAGGTCCGTGACTTCATTCACACGGGGCTTACCAAGCTGTTGTCTCAAGTGGTCCATCAACGTGGTGACTCCTCCACGATAGGCCACCCATCC